GCACACGTATTTGTAAAATCTAAGTGACTCGTACAACATGGAATTCATATAAAACGGAATAATGAATAGTATTATAGGGGAGTCAACTGGTAGTACAAAAATTTCCAAATTTACTGCTATTTCTGAATTGCAAACTGATCTTTGAATTCTACTCAAATATCATTTGATTTGCACGTATAGTTACTATATTTCTTGAACGTAAGTGAAACTGTAATGCGATTGCTTTCTTAAACTTCCCACTAAACTATATCTTATAAAAATATAACATCCAGATTTATTATTCATCTCAGAGTAAGGTTTCCTTATTTGTCATTACGTGTGTTTACGACCATTGCTGTCTACAACAGATTTTCAATTTTAAAGTTTTCTACCCTATTAATGTTATATTTTGTAAATTAATAAAATATAGATCAATATTTATTATTATTAAGAGTTTATCACACTTAATTTATAGCCACAGTTATGCAATTTCACAACTTTTTATTATAAAATTAATATACATCAAAAAATTTACTTTGATAAAATGCATTTCAAGGTTTTTTAATTATAATACCTCTTCAGTTATTATTCTTTATTAAGGGTTTTAAAGTGAAATCAAGAGCACCAACAATTGGTTTACAATGTTTATATTTAACTCTTAAACTACAATACTAGAGTGTTTTCTACATATTACAATAGAATTATGACTAATAAATTCCTATTATAAACTACAGGTAACCCCTGTATAACATGGGAGTTACGTTCCAAAAAATTGCCGTGTTATGCAAATCTGTGTTATACAAACCAAAGATCTAGTGCGAAAACGGGGTTAGGTTCCAAAAATTAAAAAACACGCTGTTAAATCCTTATTTAAATCAAATTTATTATTCATTTTTTCCATAGGTAAAATACTTATTTATTATTTAAGTAAATATTTTACCAGAGGATTATTCATCCTATATGATGATCTCAGCATGAGCATCATCAAGTGGTAACAGTTTTTGGGTGTGTTTGTTAATAGCGATCGCTCTGCAATGGGAGTGCACTGCTGTTTGTAGGCATCTAGGAACGATGGTGAAAGAAAGATGGCGGCGCTCGCACTATCGATAGTATCGTGATGGAGGAATCTATAATTCTAAAATAAGCTTTTAGAGGCAAAAGAAGGGTCCCAATTGTAAAATTTAACCATTAAATGGATTATTTGTTGAGAAAGCATTCAAAGTAGTCACAAAAACAATTAGAATGCTCGCGCAGAGTTACGCAGACATATAAAAGAATGCACCCTTTATTACATTTCATGTTGTACGAGGGTTTTACCCAATTCCCAAAGCGTGTTAGAGTGAATCCATGCTATAGAAGTGCCTTGTTATACGGGGATTACCTGTATTATAATTCTATTGTGATATGTAAAAAACACACTGTAGTATCATAGTTTGTTAAGTAAAAGTTAATTTTAATTATAAATATTGTAAACCAATTGTTGGTGTTTTTCTCTGAACTTTAAAACCCTCAATTAAGATTGTAAAAAATGTTTGATAAGACTTATGTACGACAAACAGGTTCACAGAAATATTAAAAAAAAAAAATTCCTATTTTTCATACCTTCAAAAATATTTCAATCAAAATTTTTAGTAGTAATATTTTATTTTAAAAGAATTGTCCCAATTTAATATAATCTATGAAGAAACTGAAAATAATATTGCTTATTTTTTTACAGATGAAATATTTCATTGTTCTTCTACTTTTCGTGTTTTTGTTTTGTACTCAATCAAATGAATTCGATAACTTGGTAAAGAGCAACAATAAAGTCGCATCTTTGTTTTATAAAGAACTGAGAAATAATGATGGTAATATTTTCTTTTCACCTTTAAGTCTAACTATTAACATCGCCATGTTATACCGTGGCGCAGGATCAGCTATGGAAGGAAATATTCTTCACTTTGATGAAGAAATTCATGAATCTTTCAGAAATCTCATGAATGGCAGATTCAAAAACAGTTCTATAGAAATTGCAAATGGTATCCTCTTCGATAGGAAATTATGGATTAATCAGTCATATATAAAAGATATCATAAATTACTACAATCCTATGCTGGCTTCAGTTAATTTTAATGCAGATCCAGTTAAAATTCAACAATACATTAATGATTGGGTGAATAAAAAAACACACCATCATATAAAAACAATTGAATTATCTACCGATGATCAAACTACTTTAGTGTTTTTAAATGCTGTTTATTTCAAAGGTATTTGGTTGACCCAGTTCAATAAAAAAAACACACACGACGACTTTTTCCAAAATAAGAATAATGTAACTAGCATAAAAATGATGAAGACAAAAGGTATTTTTCGTTATGCTTTCAATAATGAATTCGATTTAGATGTATTAGAACTCCCATACAGTAATGATGATGTAAGTATGTTTATATTGATGCCTAGAAATATAAATGGCATGGAAAAGGTTGAGAATAACCTTTCTAGTGAATTGTTCGATCAAATTTTTTGTCATCTTACAACTAAATCTATGACTATTTTTATGCCCAAATTCTCTCTAGAAACATCGTATGATATGTCAAGATACTTAGAAGATTTAAATTTGGAAGGGTTCGTTTATGGCATATCAAACATCTGTAATTGTGATAAATTGATGCTGGATGGAATGTTTCAAAAAACGAAACTAATTGTTGACGAAAAAGGCACAGAAGCCATTGCCGTGACTTATAGCAAAGTGTCTCTTAGTGGTTTTCAATCAGAAATACAACTGAAGATTGATCGACCATTTTTATTTGTCATAAGAGATAGTGTAACGGGATTAATTTTGTTTCTCGGAAAAATTGAAAATTTGTAATTGCATTTAAAGCGAGTTTTGTGTAATTATTATATTGTAAAATCTGTTGCTATAGAAAAACATTAAGCAATTCAGATATTGCAATCTGTATCTATGCAAGCATTAATATATAAAATGTAAAACCATTTTTATATAGAGAAAAATAAATGATACAAATTTACATATTTATTTCTGTTTATTGTATACTTCTAACAAAACTAAGTTTTGGTACAATTCCTTACTTATTTCTATCAAATATTTACCATACTTGTAATTTCCAGTGCCTTACAATTTATGAAAGAAGCCATTACTTTCTTTCATCGCAAACCGTCAAATGTTCTACGAACAGAGGGACCAGGATCTTTCAAAATACTAAAATCCAATAAATCTGGTCGTTCGTGACCTTTCATAGGAGTCACATTATCCTCGATATTCCAACTCCAACCTTGCATTAGAGAATATTTCTTTGCAGAAAAAAATACTGCTAGGAGCATGGCCATTTTTATGCCTCGTGGAAAAGAATTAACTGAAAAATTTATAATTAAAATTACTTACAATTTTTAACTAATTACACAATTTTAATTTATTTAATTTTACTTAATTTAGAAAGGTGTCAACATAAAATCAATCACCATACTTACACATTTTTCCATAAATACCACCAGCTGCTAAACCACCAATAAAATAATTATAATGATCATCTTTTTTTCTCAAATTTGATAAGATACATGCTGTTGCGCCTATAGTTGCACCCATTCCGGCTGAAATAAATTTTTTCAGTAACTTTTTATGTACAGATAATTAATAATATTACGATTTAATTTTTTAAATAAAAACACTATATTGCCATTATCAAGATAAAAATTAAATAATGTTGCAGATCAAATTATGGTAACAATTCAAAAGTTAATACGATATTTTTTATTTCCTTAATTTTTGGCTCTTTCCACCACTTGTGGGAACTAAGAGGACCCTTTTTCCAGGTTCGTTTTGGGGTCAGCCAGGCTCTCTATGGAACCAATGAATGGAGAGAGATTTGGCTCGACACGTCTGGGACAGATTGCCCACAAAGTAATCCCAAGTCCTCCAGAGCTGTTGGCTGACACCTTAAGTGCCTCACCCGTCCAGCCGGTGGAAATTTAACATTTGAAGGTTACATTTGCAGTATATCTGTACAGATAAGACAACCTTCAGATAGGACGAGGTATAAATTTTTATCAAAGTTTTATAGTTTTAGCATATATCTGTCCTATAAGACGATCCCCCCAAACTATCAACGGCCTATGAATTTAGTTTAGATCAGCGATCATCATCTGGATAATAACACTGTACAGCATATACGGAATTATGTCCTATTTGTAATTTTTTTTAAAGAACTTCAAATTTTATTTTCTTGCATGCGGAAGCACTGCCTTGCAATTGTTGCAAACATTCACATTGATTCGGCCATTCGGGTAATGACCTTGACTATTCACAAAAACGTCGTATGGGATATTCTATTTTGCGGACATACCCTACTCTCTACTAGTAAATAATTACGGTTTTTCCATTTTTTATAATAATTTTAATTTATATAAATTTCAATCTAATTTTTTTTGTATCCGTCCTATAAGATGACCATGGATTTTGGGGGTCTTTTTTTTATGATTCAACTATCGTCTTATCTGCGCAGGTATACGGTAATTAAAACAAAACCCAATTTAATCCATTCAGTTATCATTACATCTCAAATGATTCTGAAAATGAGTTTCTTGAATAATACCAGAAACTGAATTCAAAGTTTGATCTCAACAAATGTAAGCTTAATTAATAAAAATATTTTTGTAAATAATCATTAACTCTACCAAAAGGGAAACCATAAAAAGCAATCCTCTGAGCAGCAAGTGCATAAGTTGGAGGTTTATAAATCAATAGTGTGTTAATTCCACCAAGTGTCACACCTAGAAAATAAAAATAAATTATGATTAAAATAGTGTCAATTCAATATTTTAACTGGAAGATATGTACTAATTATAATACACAGTCATTTTAAAAATAATTACCAGTAAAAATATATGTTCTAATTAAAAATATATATATAACACTGAATAGATTAATACACGTCTAAAACTTAAGGATAAACATAATTGCTAGCAGTGATAACTGAAAAAGTCGCCAAGCTAACTGATGGAAATTTGCAAATATATTTAGGACATACTAAAAAGTCAAACTTCTCTACAAAATTCCCCACTAGAAAACAAGCTGGACCTCATACACACCCTAAAGGAAAAATGCACCAATCAACCTGAACACCTGAACCACTTGATGAACCTGCCACATTTGTCACATCACAGTTCAAGATGGACATCAATAAATCTGATGTTGAAATCCAAAAGTAGACTTGTGTTACCCATCTGATCTATTTCTAGTAATAGGCCATATGGCCTATCGCTATTTTATTTATTGATGATAAAATTGCGACAAAGTTTTATCATAAACCTGATTCCCATAAGGATCATTGGAGCATATCAGCATGCTCCAATGATCCTTATAGTTACATGGTAATGACCTTCAGAGCTCTCACTAAAAAGAGCATACACACATTGTTCCAACTTGGCAGATACGGAAGCTGAACTGAGTCGGGTCATACAGATAGCCTGAGTGCATGGCTTCGGTGAGCACTTAATCTACCAATTATCTGATAAGTGTAATGCCCAGACTAACAATATAGATGATAACGCCAACAACGAGGCAGATGAACACCGAGCAGGTAGTAATTACTTATGAGTGTCACATGCATGCAATGTGTAAACAAACAACAAAACATAAAGGTGCTTACATTGCATTTAGGCATAATCAAAGTACACTGCTGGCCAAGTAAAATGCAACACCATGTAGGCCTCTAGATATTGCAGATGTTGCATTTTACTTGGCTAGCAGTGTATTTAAGCACTGCTAAGAAATGGGAAAGATGCCATACACAAAGAAAGGGTGCCTGGGGTTTAAAGGATAACCTTAAGGATGATAGGTTTGACAGAGACCTAGTTTAAATAGGTGCCACAAAAAGATCCCTCAAACAGCATGTAAAAAAGCACAAATTTGACATCGACAACATGAAACTATCCACCTCTCTGTCCACATATACTTCTGACAACAACGTTGAGGTTAAACTTCACCAGATGAGGTTGATACATTATAACTGGCATAATGACCATATTAGAGATTTAGAGGACTTGAAGATCTTTAAAGCATGCCAGTTATGTAATTGTATTAACCACAAAGACAAAAAACAAATTTCATGCACGTGACAATCTGACCTTAACACTCCACTTCACACCTTTCACTTGTGATTGGTTCATTCATTTTAATAACTTACTTGAATTTTAATGATATAAATTCAAACTCTGCAGGCATTCCATTTAAAATGTTACGTTATAAAACTTTTATCTCTAAACCTGATGCAGACTTCAGAAGGGAGTCGAAAACATTATGTCACTGGAAGGATTTAGTATATTTTCTATTATATTATTTTTTCTTAATTTATCATTCTTAATTTTAATCATAATTAGTTTCATATTAACTAAAATAATCTCCACAAATCTTTGTATGTCTGCATTTGTAGAGATCAGGAGATTATGAGAATAGATTGGCCACCGATAGTTCTAGCTCATTTAGCATCATTAGCTCGAAAATGCAAGCTAGACTGCAGCCATTTAAAATCACACGATCCATCCCTGAATGAAGCAAACACCTCATGGATGGTAACTTTAATGCAAAAGTATATTGGAAATAATACTAGAACTCTCACACAGAGGCCCAAATCCAAAATTGGTTCCTAAACTACAATTGCAACATAACTGACCCATACTCAGACACAAGAATGTATACAAAATTAAATAAAATCCAAATAGGCCACGAATAATGCAGGGATTTCCCTATACAAGTGAGATAAGTCACTATTCTCTGAATGTGAATGTGGCATACCCAGACAAAGTATGAAACACATCATGAACCAATGCACGTAAGATCATGTGAAACGAACTGGATGGACTTTATGGAGTCATCACTATCAGCATTGGAATGTATTAGAAAACTTAACAACATACAATAATCTTTACATTATATATAGAGGATTTGATCCCGGGATCTCAAAAATCGGGATCCCGACTACTTTTCAGTCCCAAAATTTTCGGGGTTAAGTTTTCCTAATCCCGAGATTTTCGGGATTGACATCATTTTTAAAAAGTTGCAAAATAGACTGCATGAAGCGAAACGTTCAGTGCCAGTGCTTTTACAGAATTGCTTGCCTATCATTTTAATATAAAATATGAGAAATTTTATTCCAAGCAAGCAGCAGAAATTAACCTAGCGGGCTTGCGATGCTTGCTTGGAATAAAACTTCTTGTATTTTGAACTAAAATGATAGGCAAGCAGTTCTCACTGGGTTACTTGGTAATATACTTCATTTTTGTATTTTTGAATTTTCGCGGGCGC